ATATATCAAGTAGTTTTTTTAAACAAGTATAATATATTTTTTAAAAGCTAAATATTTTTTTGGTAAAAAACACGTAATTATTCTTATTTTATTTTTTTAAAATGTTAGCAAGATAAGTTATATATTACTAATCTTCTTATGAATAGTTTAACTTTTTTTAATTCATTCAATATATTTATTAAATAATATATAAAATAAATTCAAAGTATAATTTGATAATAAAAAATATTATTTTTATATAGACAATGACATAACATAACATAACATGAAAACTTGATAACTTATGTCATATTATCTTATTTCAACTCAAAATGTTACCCATTACTTACATTTGAATTTTATGAGGTAGGGTTTAACAAAAAGTTGGAGCGATTAAGGGTTTGAAACGGATGCAACTTCGCAACCTTGGATTCGTAATAAAACGAATGAAATTACAAGATATTTTTAGTCCATGTAAAATAAATAACTCCCAACTTTCTATCAATCAATCAAAAACTTGTTCCTTCTCTCTCAATGCTTCCTCATCCTTTCCTCAAAGGGTTTTCAGAAACCCTAGATCGTTAATGGGTGCTTTCACCAGTAGTCGCAACAAGCGCCAAGCAGAATTTCAATCTTCATCACCATCTGGGTTCGAAGAAACTGATGTTGCTCATGTACAGATTGTTAATGATGACGATGCTGATTCGGGTGTTGCAATGGCGGACGTTGAGATACAAGACATTAACAAATCAGGGGAGCTACAAAATGTGATTTTGGAATATAGGAAACTGGATGGGAAAACTGAACAAAATCTTGGCTTTCAGCCTTGTACTTGTGCTTCTGCTGGGATGGTATCGGATTCGGTGGATGGGAAGACATTAGAATCGGTATCGCTGAAGCAGAGGCCAGATAGGGGTTTGCCTCTTCATATAAAGTTGCTGCATTATGTAGCTGAAAAAATAAGGAGATTCAACTTTCATATCAAACTACAAGAGAGAGAGAGAGGTTTATGTCAACAATTGGGGGCTCCGCCTCCAAAGAAAGAGGAGGTGAGCTGAATATTGTTGGAAATGAAACTTCACTTGTATCAGTGATTGGTTTCTTATCGATATGTTTTTCAGGATATACCGATTGAGCCTTTCCGGCCACTTACTGAAGAGGAGATGGAAATGGTTGATAATGCATTCGCTAATTCTAGTCGGTATGGCTTGATGGAGATATATATATATATATATACATACATACATATACATACATACGTATAATGTGGTGCTTCTGTATGTGTATTTGCAGAAGGAAGGTTTTGGTGACTCATGAGAAGTCGAATATTATAATCACAGGAGAAGTTTTAAGGTGTCTAAGACCTGGGCAATGGTTAAATGATGAGGTAACTTTTTTTATTTCTGAGTGTACAAGATTTGTATTGTATGTAGTACTAATTTTGATATTATTAAAGGTTATTAACGTTTATTTTGAGTTGCTGAAAGAGAGAGAGAAGGTTCTGAAATGCCATTTCTTCAACACGTTTTTCTACAAGCAGGTTGGTAATGGTTTGGTTGATATCATCTTTTGCCGTCTATTTTTTACTGGTTGGCTTTATTTATATCAATCATATCATATGCATCTTTTCTTCCCACAAATTTTGCAACTTTTTTGGTTTTAGGATACCATTCCTTCTCTAATCTCTCTCTTGCAGTTAAATTACAAACTTGCCCAAAACTCATCCAAACGCCAATATAGGGATGCATCCCTTTGTGTACAAAAGAGCTGAAAATTTAATAAATTATAGAATCATTAACTGACATCATAAGAATGAACGAGACTCCCAAATCCCAATCATCTGCAAACCTCCTAATCTCAACCATCCTTCTAGACTAATAAATATTTGATTTCATATATATCTCGATTGTTTCCTAAAGAATCAACTTTGCTCGTCTTCCATATAATAAATCAACCTCATCGTTTTTCATAAATATCTCAATTATTTGGTTTTGTATGAAGTACGGGGCCTGCAAATCATTGGGACTCATAATGAACAAACCTACGAATTGCATTTTGTTTTGTTTTGTTTTGTTTTGTTTTCTTAAGATGCAACCCATTCTTTTTCTATGGCAAAAGTTTCTAATAAGCAATTACTTTCACTTTAAGAATTATAAGGGGACAAATCTTAGATGAAAAGTTCTTTTTCTTTACATAAAAACATCTTTGGAACCCTAGTTACCTTCTATTGCTTTACGTCAATGGATGGTGAATAATCAAATTCTAATAAGACGTTGCGTCTATCATGAATTCTATCTATTTGTTGCTGCCCAGTTAACAAGTGGAAGGATTGGCTATGATTACAAGTCAGTTAGAAGATGGACTACGCAGAAGAAGTTGGGATACAGTCTCTTCGAGTGTGACAAGGTAAAGTTTAACTGCTTATGATTACTTTCCGTTTTTCCTAATTCCATGCTATTCTTGTTTAAATTTTGGTATTCTGACCATAGCTTTTAAGCAGATCTTTGTTCCTGTCCACAAAGAAATACACTGGTGCTTGGCTGTTATCAACAAAAAAGAAGCAAAGTTTCAGTATCTCGACTCACTTGGAGGAATTGATGAACAAGTAATGAGGGTATTGGTATGTCTAGCCTCCTTGTCTTGTGTGGTCATAGTGGTGTTACTGTTTTATATGCATTCCAGTAGGGGCAGGTTTAAATGAGAATCATAAATAATTCGAGAACTTATGAACCAACTATTTATGCTTTATTCATGATAAATGATATTCACGATGTAAAATTATTCATAGTAAAAATACATGATTACTTAGGGTTATTCATTATGAATAATACATGAAATAGTTGGTTCCCAGGTTCTCAATATATTTAATATTTTTGCTTTTCAATTTGAAGTAATTATGTCTTCCAGGCCAAGTACATTGTGGATGAGGTGAAAGATAAAAATGGGAAGGACATTGATGTTACTTCTTGGAAGCAAGAATACGTGAAGGACCTTCCTAAACAGAAGAACGGGTGTGTTCAAAGCTTTACTAAACAAAATAAGATAGGATTTTTGAATGTTCATCCTGCCATTTTGCCAACTTCTTTCATAGTTGAGAAAATGATAAAATAATGAGAAGCCAAATGCACATCCATGAAGTCAAAAATGAGGCCAAATGATTTTTGGCATAATCAAGTCTCTACAACTATTAGGTTGTGAGTTCGAGTCTCTTTTGATGCACTGTGTGTGAGTTTCCTGGGCGTTTCAAAAAGAAAAGAGAAAAAAAAAAACCGTTTGGTTTTATAGCCCTTTGAGGTCTTTTAACTTCTTTAGTATTATGTGTTTTCTTTTGATCATGGTTTTGTTTTTGGGCAGAAATGACTGTGGTGTGTTTATGATCAAGTATGCAGACTTTTATAGCAGGGACATTGGCCTCTGCTTCAAGCAGGTGAGGGATAAGTTTCTTCTAAATGGTGTTTTATATGACTTAATTAACAGCGTATGGATCAACTCTATTTTCATGGGATTCATAAGTTTATTGCATGAACCATATCATTCGTCATGATTTTAGACGTTAAGACTGTTTGGTAAGAACTTTTTGGCCCATTTGGTGCGACATTAGACTGGGGGACAAACCTGAGTTTTTTTGTCCCACTAAAATAGGTGGACAAGAATCAGGGAGATGAGACAAGATTGGTAAATTACTAAACTATCCATGTAAAATTAAAACCCTAAAACCTTGCACGATTTTTTCACCTATCCTGTCTAGTTGTGTTCTATCCTATCTGCCTACCAAACGCGTGACCAGAATCCTTGATGTGATCATGGTTTCTTGTAGGAACACATGCCATATTTTAGATGGAGGACTGCCAAGGAGATACTGAGATTGAAAGCCGACTAAATATCTGTAAGCATGTACATATGTAGTTGCAAATATGTATAGTTTTTTGTATCTATCTGTGGCCTTTTGTCAAAGCCCTGTCTTGCTGCATATTGTAGTTATACATATTGTGTTTATTATGGAAAAGAAAAGGTATGTTTATTTAGCAATGATGGGTCATGTATGTTGGGTTTTGTAAATAACATTTCATTTCTGGAGCCTAATTGGATTGGTACATGTTCTGTTTGTATGGAGGATGCTATCCTCAGAATGCAGCCCATACATATGTGCAGCTAGTTCCTCGATTCCAATTGCTCATATGTTGGATGATACGGAGATCTAATGAAACATGAGAAAGTAGACACATCGCTTAAAGAGAAATGGAAGAAACGATTGAGAAGTAAACGACATGATGAGCAGGATTATGTTGATAATGTGGATGATTACATGAATAATGCGCTTGATCGGTTACTTTAGGGTGGTATGATTGCCAATTGCCAATTGCCAATTGTTAATTGTTGAGAGGATTCATCAGAATCAACTCGTCATACACATGCATGCAAACAGTTTCACGAAACATATATGGCTTCAAATTATTTTAAGAAAATAATACGAGTTTTTTTTTTAGGGGAGAGAAAAAAAAATGAGAAAATTTTCTTTCAAAAATTAATAAAAATACCCAATCTTTCATTCTAATTCATATATTTTAAAAAAAGATATATTAATACTTCCCAAATTCTTTGACGTTAACGTTTCTTAATAATTGTTTTTTTTATTTCAACAATAATTTTTTAAATAATCAAAAAAATTAGACGTAAATGAGAACAGATACGCAACAATCACAAAGCCCATCCAATAACATCACGTAATGTAATAGTGATACACAACACAACTCAACTATCTGCTAAGTGGCTGCCCACAAGAAGCCATATCTGTCTGTTTATGTTAATGTTTATGCAAGCATATCATCCTTTTTTGTAACATTGCAACCAGATAATAATAATAATAAAATAAATATCTAAATTCAAAGGCTGGCTGTGCAGAGGGCTCATTTCATTTATTATTGGGTTTAATGTCTAAAATGACTAAATAAATCCCATGAACAAAATGACATATCTGAAAACCATAACTCACAAAGACAAGAAAACCATGGCATTGGTTTTGATAGAATAAGACCCAAGACCTGACTAGAATATGATACCTGCTGGTGACACACCACCATGTGCATCCCGGCGCCGCCTTGAGCCACCACTCAAAAACAGCCTGCCTTGGCGGCGGCCGATGCGAGGAATGTAGTTACGAACACGTCCAGATGCCGATGCAGCATCGCCAAGGCGCACCTCAATCTCGCCATCACCATCATCTTCATCATCATCCAATGATCGACGACCCCTCTCAACGATTGCATAACCGCTACGTGCATTTCTTCTCCCATCATATGATCCTAACCGCAAAAGAACACTGTCCAAATAATTATCCACATTATCATCTCTAGAAAAGCCCCGGAAATTCCCTTCGATCACATAATCCCCCATTATGATCGACCCCGGCATCGTCGAGTTAATCGTGCTCATCACGTCGTTTAGTTCTCGATCGTTTTCAAGTTTCTTCCATTTCTCGGCAAGCGATGGGTCCACTTCTCGGGGGCGGGCCAACGGGTGATCAGCTCGTACATGCTTCCTTAGATCTCCATATGATCCAACAAACGAGCAGTTGTCTTGCATGCAGCTCCTCTTTTTGGAATTGAGGAACTTGCGTGCGCGTTCCACCACAGTCCACCCTTTTACTTGACCACGGCAAAGCGGGCATAGAAGCTCAGGTGCTCGAGATTTCTCTGAGGCCCCATCTGACCCTAAACTAAAGTTTGGGTCATCGGTTGACCCTTCCCATGGCGGTGCACTTTGGGTCGAGTCCACTTTGGTGTAGGCTTTCTGGTACTGGTCTAAACAATTGGAATACCGATAACTAGTTGCACACATATATGGGCGGCAGCCTTTGTGATACGAGGAACACAGCAGGAGAACGGCGTTGTGAGGATACTCCATACAAACTGAACATTTTGCATCTTGCCAATCCTTAACAGATGCCTTTCGTTGTTTCTTGTGACGGGTATCCTTCATAATCTTCGAATGAAATGACCGCAAAGAATATGGGCTTGCCCTACGATGCCTCGATCCGGATCTTTCTGGCACCTTCTTGACTTTAGTCATTGCAACTCAAACCTAGTACATATATCGCCAAGAAATAAAGTTGATGAGAAAGGAGGGGGTGTAGATGAACCACTTCCAGACATTCTTGAGAACCATTACAGAAAACCCAGCAAATGGTTGACAATGAATATATAGAAAAGGTTTCAACACCACTCCCTTGCATGTCTGCTTTGCGCTTGCACAGCATTAAATCGTGCCCACACCATTGAATCGTTATTCTATCTAATGTATTTTCTGATTACCTGTTGTATTGCCTCTCTTTTTTAAAGTATAAATATTTATATACGGCAAATAATCACGCACACAAGGTTTGAACCATGACCTCAGTAACCCATGTACACTAGGCCAATGATCCTTTGGTCATATCACCTATCTTATTGCCTGCTTGCACATACAGAAACAGCCTCTCGATCCTGGTGGTTAAGGTAAAATCTGCATACATCCTACCCCTCCCAGACCCTACTTTCAAGGTTCATTTGGTTCTGTTTGGTTTGGTTTTTTCAATTCTTCCCCTTCCAATCATAGTAAAATTACCACAACGATCCAGAATCCAATCTTTTATCTTAATCTATGATTATATAGTCCTAATTTGAGGAGGGGATAGTTGTTAAATATATAGAAAAAGGTTCAACAATATTCCCCTTGCAAACCGCTTCAGTATCTGAACATATTCCAACTACTTCAGTAGATTTGGGTAAACACAAGGTAACTGAGAACATGGTTGCCAAAAGACCAAGTGACAAGCCTAATGCAAACGTAAAACAAGAAACAACACAAATGGATAGTCTATATTCACTTATAATTACTAGAAGGGTACCCGTGCAATGCAACGGGCTAAATCTCTATTTTAATGTTTAGTTTTTATTGTCTCTATCGATATAATACGGTTTTACGTGATTTTGAGAAAACGATAATGTTTTTATATTTGAATGAAATATAAATTTGAAGATATCATAAAAATTTGAAAAAAATATATTGACATTAGTATCAAACTAGAAGAGTACTCGCACAATGCAGCGAGACACATCTTGATTTTAATTTTCTATTTTATTATTTGTCTTTGTCGATGTTATAATAAAATTTTATGTGTTTTTAAGAAAGCATTAGTGATTTTATTTTTGAATAAAATATAAATTTGAAGATATCATAAAAATTTGAAGAAAAATATATCAATGTTAATATCAAATCAACTATTTAAAAGTTCTCATTTTTTATGTAATTTCTTTAATTTATTTTTTTATTATAATTTAATTTAAGTTTAATAATAAAATAATTTATTTTTGGTTTAATATTATAAATTTTATAAATATAATAATTAAGTAGAATTCAATGATTATCCTAATTATATTTTAGATTTTTTATAGTTAAAATGAGATGTTTATCCTGTATTTGATTATGTTTATCTGCAGTTAGTTACACGAATTCAGATATAGAGCTTTAATAAGTTGTACTTGTGCACAATCTACAATCTTGAGTTTTAAGTAATATGCATTAATAAACAGTACTATAAGCATAAAAAGTGGTTTTTAAGAGTTTTTGTCAAATGCTTTATAATATAGTATAAATTAACTATTTAATAGTTCTTGTTTTTTTGGTGTAATTTCTTTAATTCAATTTTTTACTATAATTTAATTTAGATATAATAACAAAGTAATTTATTTTTGGTTTAATAATACAATTTTTTATGAAGAGAATAATTAAACATTCTATTAGAACTCAATGATTATCTTAATTATATTTTAGATTTTCTATTTTTAAAATGGATCTTTATTCTTTATTTGATTATGTTTATCTGCAGTTAGTTACACAAATTTAAATTTTTAATAAGTTGAACTAACTCAAAATTATTTGTAATCTTGAATTTTAAGTAAAATGCATCAACAAACAGTATTTCAAGCATAAAAAATGGTTATAATATAGTAAAAAAAAATATTACAGTATTTCTTTATTCTTCTATCTTTAGTGTAACTTCTAACACAATGGAAGAGTTTTGAGTAATCAATCATAAGAGGATGTTGGAATAAGACCCTGCAACCTCAGAGTTAGACGCAGGGAAGGGATCTGGGGAGCTATAGGATGGGTGTAGGGTTAGTTAACCAGCAATTGGATTTCCTCAGTCTTAGGTTAGACTATGGTGTAGTTATTCCTATTTTGGGTTTTCTTGTAACTGCTTCTGTGTGTATGTTTTGTTGCTTGTTTGTCTGTTTGGACGTTGTTGCCGACTTCTACTCGTTTTCAAATTTAACATTGCTTTTCTTATTTTCAAGTTCTTCATATGTTCTTTCCCTGCAAATATTTCTAGCAAGTTTTATCCTTTCTTTCGCATGCTTTGCACAAGCCGGGGTCTTCACGGAAACGGCAGCTCTACTCTTTGGAGTAGAGGTTAGGTCTATGTACATCCTACCCCCCCTCCCTTCCCACCTTAAGGTGGGACATACCAGTTTTTTTTTGTTTGGTTTGGTTTGGTTAGCCTCAGACAGGCCAGTCAGCAATTGGTCGCTCCTTGGGGTTAATATCTCTGCCTCTTGAATGATTGTCTGATGAATCAAAGGGGGTGACCTAGAAAAGCATAAGATCCCTATAGCATGCCTGCCCCACTGGTGCACCTTATAAAGTTATAGTATACTGCAGCCATGTAAATGGTGAGGGGTTGATTTATGCTACCTGCCTACCCCAGCTGCCAAAGAAGTTATAAATCCAAACAAAAAGGTGGTCTAAATTGTATGATTCTTGATAGTTACATTACATGCAACACCAGGGCTTTTGGTGAAATGTAAATTTGAATACTATGCAAGGAATTATGTGTAGTACAGGAAATAGGGAGGATTTTTCCTAGCACTGGTGGCAAACTAGCAATAAGAGATAGACCTCTCTGCACCCTATGCATCAAATGTGCTACTGGGTACAGCGGCCCTTCCAAGAAAATCCTTCACATTTGACAGGTGAGTATCAAATGGAACACTGCAATCAACTTTATATGAAAACTTTGTTTTTACAGCAAATATACCTTTTCCCTCTAAAGGTAGAAATTTTATGTGAAATTTTGAATTTTATACCGACATGTGTGACACTTGAAGCCATGCTCAAAAGCTTCCTTAAGGCTCTTCATCATTGCAGATATTCTCATCATTCTGCAGAATTTGGGTCATCAGCCTCAGTTCCATCGTGGCACAGGAGGGATGTTGATGCGATGGCACTATGGTTTTGTCCTTGGATTATTTGGTTTTCAGTCAAAAGCTATGGATCAGACAGTGGTGTGATGCCGTTGATGTAGTGTTCGATTGATGATTCGGTGGCAGCTAGGTCTTATCAGTCTGAGTATATCAATGTTATTAGTATTTCTTACCGCATGTTGCATTTTCAGTTTTGGTTGGTGGTGGATTCCTCCGTTCAATTGGCATCAGGTCATGTTTCATTTTGAAGAAGGTTTAATGTTGGTAAGACTTTCTCGGTCGTGGACTTGTGGTGGCATTGTTCAGTTGGTGGGTTTTAATTGGGATATACTTTCGCTATTACATATTGTTTCCGTCAAATTGTAGATTTTTGTTCAATAAACTTGTCAGTTAAAAAATTAGGCAAAACTAATCAACCAGAATAATCATTTAACAATGTAATTTACCTAAAAGGCTAAAACGAAAGAACATGGAAGAACTAGAAGCTTCTTAGGCGTAACTGCTCACAGATCATACTAACAGCAGCAAAAAACAAGTCTTCCTTTCATGCTTTGCTTTTTTTCAAATTTCATTACTTAGCTAGTCGCTTATTATTTAGAAAGTAAACTGAATCTGTGTTTGTGTTATCAGTTTAGTCATATTAGGACAGTGGTCATTTAGCTTCCCTAGCAAAATATGCACAATGTTGTCTCTTTATTCAACATTAATTGAACATTCAGCCAACAGCCCGACACTTTCTGAAGTAAGGAATAACTTCAAGATCACTACTCAACTCCCTTTTATTGATGTCTGATCTTATTTAACCAAAAAGATTAAAATGTTTATCTCTAAATAAACACTAAAAAGAGCTTTTACATAAGGAACTGCTTAAAAGCTAAGTTGATCAGTCAAACGTGGCCACGTGGGATCATGCCAACAACTAATATTGCAAGGAGAGTAAAGAAGACTGGTCAATTGATGCTGCATAGTGCTACTAAAGAACGGCAGGGTGTGGTAATATGAACTATTCATTAATACACCTAAATAAATTACTAGAGCCACGGAAGCAGTCATCAGTTCACTGATTCACTGTTTATGCCATATCAAGAAAAGGTAAGGATTCTTTTATACCTATGCTGTTCCAGCAGTCAAAAATAAAATAACAGGTCACGACCGTGATTTGACCTAGCGGTTATTGCGATGGCAAAGTGGTCCATAAAACAATTAGAGTTATATCTATATCTATATATAAATATATGTACATATAATACTTAATATAGTATATGTATTAAACAAAAAATATACAGTTTAAACATCAAGTCAAGGTTTATGATAGAGAACGACCCCTCGGCCCAATATTGGATGATCAGCCCTAGGCTTGGAAGGTCTACCAATGCAGGAGAAAGGATCAAAGGACACGTGTAGAGTTGATATGACATGGGTTGTTATGCATGAAGAAGAATACGATATATATTAATCCTTTTAGTAATAAGAGAGATATGTGAGAATACATCAGTTGAGACTATTCAGCTATTATAGCTTGGGCAGGAGGGTAGCTCAGTCACCGGTACCCTTTTGATTTTGTTCGTTCTAATCATTTGAATTCCTACTAATCGAATAGCTTAATTCCTCTTTTCTAGTTGGTATAGAAAAGAGGAATTAATCTATTCGATTAGTAGAAATTCAAATAATTAGAATGAACAAAATCAAAAGGGTACCAGTGACTGGCCTACCCTCCTGCCCAAGTTATAATAGCCGAATACTCTCAACTGAAAGATATATTCTCACATCTCTCGTATTGCTAAAAGGGTTAATATATACAGTATTTTCCCTCAGGCATAACAGCCCATGTCATATCAACCCTACACCTGCCTTTGATCCTTTCTCCTGCGTTGGTAAACCTTCCAAGGCCTGGGCTGATGGGTCGTTGGTTATCACTTTATACACACGAAATAGTAAAAGAGTTTGTAAAATTCTTGAACCCGTTGACCGTTAAACAGAAGTTATAGGTTCAAAAGACTGGTTAGCAAACCCGTTGATTGTTTTCCTCGTGAAACGGTAGAACCAAAAGAAACCTTGATTTTGTACTTGTGGAACGGTATAAGGACCTAAAGAAGCTTATTGTAATCCTCATGGTGGAACTTGAAAGAACCAAATAAGCAAAAAGTGAAAAGACTGCCATTTTTAGCAAATAGTGGCTATAGCACCGTATTTCCGCTTTTCTAAAACCAAATAACGGCTAAATAACGGTAGTTAGCGGCAATAATAACGGGACCGCTATTTTACCATCGCTATTATTCTCAAGACAGCAAACCCGCTATTGCACCGCGATAGCACCGTCATAGCGGCGAGATTAACAACATAGTTTTATCCTTGCAATGAATATAAGCATACCAAACAGAATATGAAGAGACTGATCCCGCATCCTATATGTTGTCTATGAAACAAAGTTGTAAGATGTGGCTTACAACCACAAGTATTACCATTGCAAAAGATATGAGTGAACATGTTTAGTCCGTTCTGAGGTGCACAAGGACCTCCCCAAGTTGAACATAAATATAAGCAAAGTACATAGTCTTGTGACAGTCGTCTCTCAAACACTTGCTTTCTAAGATTTACAAGTTTCTAACAAATCATATAAATCTTGTGCCATAAACATCACTCCTTCAGGGAAGTCTATAATATAATTCATATCTCATTCTTATTTCTTAGTTTCTTTGTTGGATTCTGCAAGAACAAGATGATTGAATTGGAAATATCGACAAACTCTTGCGGAGTCCAAAGAAATGAAAATAAATAAAAAGGGGGTGGGTCTTGCAGTCAAGCTCCCTACTGCCTTTGCACTCGAGGGCCAATCTCCAATATTTCCCCATTTTTAATTTAGTTGTGTAGCTCGAAGGCTGCTAGTGATGGGCAAATTTTGAGGTTAGTGGTGGATCTCCCCCATTGGATTTCCTTTTCATCTTCTTTGCCACTCACTTTGTTAAAGATGTATATACAACATCATTGTTGAATGGTATTTAAATTGAAGCGGTAGAAACATAGGTGTCAAGTATGAGCAATGGCATGGCGCAATACGAAGGTGACGCCTCACAATTTAAGATGGCACAGCAGGGAAAATGGAACATACCACGGAGCCAAGTGAAATGAACTGGTGCAATGCACATCTTTAAACTTTGGTCCTACTTAATGAAACTAAAATCTAAAGTATCCTGTCTTTCAGGTTTTTTGTCGATGAGTGAAGAGTCCATAAATCCTTTATTGAACTGGTAGATTACAATAAAAGAATATAATATGTGATATAGAAAAAAACAAGACCTAACACTAAGTGTATGTTGTCTTCTTCTGAGTTACTAATTGTTCAATGACTATTTCCAGTTCACAAGTCTATAGAGTGTTCTCTAATTCTCATCGATCAACAACATCTTTCATAGCTCCCATGTCTCTTTTTCGAAATTACTTCATGACTCTCTTCGATCTATTTTGCTGACCTTCTTTTGCAGTGCACAAATTCCTTCTTATTATGAGTTTTGGTCTGCTTTCACATAAGCTACAAAACATAATGTTTTCCTGATTATCTGAGTATCACTTCTTTATTTATTGACCATTGTTCATTGTTTGTTGTATGTTAATTGTGAAAGACTGAGCACTTTTGGTTTATTAACCTTCGAGTTGGAGCAATGCATGTGCCACATGCAGTGTCTATACCCGTCACAAATCGCCAATGATAGAGTATACCCAAAATACTAAAAGAAGAAAAAAAATCCCGGTTCAGGAGCACTTGGAGATGCAAGACTAGGGTACCATATTAGGGGTTGGGATCTAAATGGAAGGAAGGAAGTTAAAGAGGTAGAGGGTAGAGGGTATAGGCCTAGAGGGTACTCAGGGTAAGGTTAGTTAGGCTAGGGTGTGTAGTTACCTTGGTTACTTTTGTCATGTACTTGCCTCTATTTATATTGGTTTGCTTACTCATATCTAATTTTTCAATATTTAGTGTCTGTTTTTCTCTCTTTCTTACACTTTGAACTGGCTGGAGGGGTCTTAACAAAATCAGCCGCTCATTTCTAGGGTAGAGGTCGGGTCTGCGAAAATCTTAACGCAATACCCCATCTCCTGGTGGCATTTACTTGGCTAGTTTGGTTTGGTTTTTCTAAAACAAAAAATGATCTACCAGTCATCCTCGCTTGAAAATCAACATAGTGATCAACAGTTGAGAGTATTTTCAGGAGGTGTTCAACAAATTTCATCCTTGTCAACGAAACTAAAACCATATCATGAATACAAAAGGATCACAAATTATTATAGAAAACACACATTTGAAAACAAAACAGAATGCAAGTAGAGAGGGAAAAAGAAATTCTACTTAATAATTAGGGTTTCAGATACATGAAAAACCCCACCCCTGCATCTAAACATCAATCAGTAATTTCAACCTCATTAGTCTATGATTCGTAGTTGTATACGTGAAATTACAAGATTCCTACTGTTTGCAACATGAAATTAGCATCTCACTTTTTGAAGAATAGAGTTCAAATGAATTGATATTTTCAATATTAGCGGTAGAAGAACATTACCAGGATTGATTCGATTGAGGAGACAGAACCGCCGTAGCCGGTGGACGGATGGGTGGAGACGAAAGGGCCTACCGTGCTCAGTCGCGTATGATTTCCGTCCTCAGCCTGCGGCATCGGGAGTTAATGAAAAGGAGGGCAGAGATTTGAAAGTTCTTTCAATTTAGCCACAAAAGTTTACGAATTTATAAAAAATATCCCACTAAATTATGTTTTATTCAACATGAGACCTGGTCTTGGTTTGTTGAAGTACAATCTACAAAGCACATAAACAATTACTCTCTCTTGTATATAATTTAATTACTTATTATAGACCATGTTATCGAAAAATCTTATCCCACACATGTAGACCTCCTTATACTGAACAAAACAATGATAGATGTTCTCGACGCTATCACCACAACAAAGAGTCAAAGAGTGAGATCGATCCATCGATTTATCGATCATGAACTTGTCAATAATCAAACGAACTGAGAGTCTTAAGACGCGATATAAAAATCTGAATTAACAAGTTCCACGTGTTTTATGTTAATTTGGCAATCGATACAAACCAAAAACACCCTAGAGTCAACAAGAAACTAAATTGTTCGAATCCTTGATCACCTTCGCCTCCTCCCATGTCATTTGTCCTTCTCTGTCATCATCCAAGAATTCTTAATTAAATCTATGAGTTCAGAAGCTCTACCCCCTTGGTTCTCTAATTTGCTTCTCATTTTCAATGATAATGTATTTTTTTATATAATTTTTTATTTTATGTTAATTAAATATGTATGGTGTATTCTTGCTCATAGGAGTTTGTGGATCTACCACTGTGTTGAACTCATGAAATTAAGACGAATACAATAATATAATTGATTATATACATGTTATGGATACAGTTCAAGCAAAATTATGAATTGTACGTAAATAATATTGTTGTTAGAAATCATTAACATCAACCAAAACTTAAGATGACGATGAGTGAAAAATGAACTTTCTAATCATCAAAAAAGTTTGTTTTAATTTGAGGATCGACAAAATACATTGTTTTGAAAAAATAAATCGTCATGACGTTTTTATAGCATAGTATACATAACAATACAAATGTTATAAAAATGTAATCGTATTTGTTTCAAGAATGATATATTATTAAATATAATAAACAAACGTACAAGTTTAGTATGATGAGATTAATTTAGGAACATCATGAAAATTAATTAATTAAAGCCACCATATTTTTTTTTCTTAATTCAAACATGAGATGATTCTATCTTCTTATCATTTCACTTTCATCTCCACAATCACATGAAATTTTTCGATAGAAAAGGGAGCGGGTTTTGATAAATTATATATTCATCAAGATAGGTGAAAAATCGTGTGAGAAATAAAGTTAAGATGAGAAACATAAGAAGGGGTCTGAATCTTTGATCACTTTTAATATCAAACTCACCCATGAATCATGTTTGATACAGTGACTGATCTGGTGCATCCCATCGTAACGTGCCTCCAAACGGTGGAGATCTCTTCTTATGATTCTCACTGTAACCCATCGATATATATATATATATATATATATATATATATATATATATGGAAGGGTTCAAACGAGAACACATTCATTTTACGATAATGCAATAACACTCTTTTACTATAGACAATCAAATGTGATATTATTATTCCATCACATATGATACACATGTAAATTAAAGACGGGGTGATTTTCGATGAAATCTTGATTGCAGGCCAAGTCTCCCTTACACCACTAAGCCCCCTCACAAGTATTGTCACATGTGATAAGGTTGTTGTTGATATAATATTATAGTCCATCAAGACCATCACATGTGATGCTAAATTATAGACGCAGACAACCTTTGACGCGATCTAAGTCGTAGAACACGTAATCAGCACATCACAAGGTCCCCTCACGCGTATTATCACATGTGATAAAGAATTTATTGCGTTCTCGTAAAATGAAGGTGTTCTAGTTTGAACCTCCACACACACACACACACACACACATATATATATATATACTAGAAAGGTACTCGCGCAACGCAGCGACATACATATTGATTTTAATATTTTATTTTTTATCTCAGTCGATGTTATAACATGGTCTTATATGATTTTGAAAAAAAAATGATGATGTTATAATACAGTCTTAGTATCAAATTAACTATTTAAACTTTCTCATTTTTTGTGTAATTTTTAATTAATTTTTTTTAATTATAACTTAATTAAGTTCAATAGCGAAGTAATTTATACTTGGTTTGATAATATAATTTTCTTATAAAGATAATAATTAATGATTTTGTTAGAACTTGATAATTATTCTAATTATTTTTTTAGATTTTTTAGATTTTAAAATGATATGTTTATTTTTATTTGATTATGTTTATCCGTAGTTAATTACACGAATTCAAACATGGAGTTTTAATAAGTTGTACTTATGCATACTTTTTTTCTTATAAAGATAATAATTAATTATTTTGTTAGAACTTGATAATTATTCTAATTATTTTTTTAGATTTTTTAGATTTTAAAATGATATGTTTATTTTCTATTTGATTATGTTTATCTGCAGTTAGTTACACGAATTCAAACATTGAGTTTTAATAAGTTATATTTATGCATACTTTTTCTCTTATAAAGATAATAATTAATTATTTTGTTATAACTCGATAATTATCCTAATTATATTTTAGAATTTTTAGATTTTAAAATAAGATGTTTATCCTCTATTTGATTATGTTTATCCACAGTTATTTACACGAATTCAAACATGAAGCTTTAATAAGTTGTACTTATGCATAATTTCTTTGTAATCTTGAATTTTAAGTAATATGCATCAATATACAATACTTCATACATAAAAATTAGTTTTTAAAAGTTTTTGTCAAATGTTTTATAATATAGTATATATATATATATATATATATACACACATAATCAAAATATGTATCATGTTACAAGTATATATTCATTTATATATCTACCATATATGTGAATATATGTACTGATGTGATGCATATATTGAAATTCTTTATTATATATGCATTACAACATTAGTGAATACTAAAAAGATACTCGCGTAATGCAACGAGATAAATCTCGATTTTAATGTTTAGTCTTATTCTTTGTCTCTATCGATATAATACGATTTTATGTGCTTTTGAAAAAACGATAATGTTATTATTTTTTAATGAAATACAAATTTGAAGATAGCTTAAAATTTTGAAAAAAAAAAAAAACAAATCGATATTAGTATCAAATTAACTAATAGTTCTATTTTTTTGTATACTTTATTTATTTATACAATTTTTATAAAGATAATAATTAAATATTTTGTTAAAACTCAATAATTATCTTAATTATATTTAAAATAGATGTTTATCTTGTATTTGATTAAGTTTATCTACAGTTAATTACATAAATTTAAAACTGAAGCTTTAATATGTTGTACTTACGTAAAATTACTTGTAATATTGAATTTTAAGTAATGCATCAATAAACAGTACTCAATGCATAAAAAATGGTTTTTAAGATTTTTTTGTCAAATGTTTTATAATATAACTAGTTGTGTACCCGCGCAATGCGGCGGGAGCCATGAATTTTAACGATTTTGAAATTCCACTGATTTATAAGATAAGATTTAACGATGATATAGGTTACACTTGGTCATTACATATTAATACAATTTGAATAAATAAGAGTTATGGTTCTAATTACAGACTATCGATGAAAAAAATTGTATGACAATTTAAAATCCAATATATTTAAAATCCAACATATTTAAACAACTCCACAAATGTGTTCGATTTACACCAAGAGCAAAGAACCAAAAAACTTGAGTTTTAAGATAAACACTCAAAACCAATAAAGAAAACTACAAATTTGACAGATCATAAGCCATGAAAAGACAAAAAAAAATGGGTTTTATAATGAAATTTCAACTGCTTACCCTCTTTCTTGTCCAGAAACTCAAATTAAGGTTGAATTAATACATGTATATATATATATATATATTTAAAAAAAACCCAAGAACATATTAATTCATAACATATTATACAGTGCAATTTAGACAGTCTAACCCCAAAATATATAGTATATATAAAAATAAATAACTATAAAAGTATAAATCGTAAATATTAAAAATATTTTTTTCACATTATATATAACATATAATAATATAATTAAGTCAAAAACTATTCAATATTGGACTCATTTCGAAGGTATTAACGAGACGATTATAATGGTGTAACTTGTTAAAATATAAATATATTTTTTAAACATGTTTTAATTGATATACGATTATGTATGTTAATTTGATAAATGTTTAAAATGAAACATTTAAAAGTAAAGAACGTAAAGTAAATTAATTAATTAATTATGGGGGAATAAAGTGTAAATTTAAAATTATAATTTAAAAAAAATATATCGTTGTGAGGAGAGGAATGAGTGAAAAAGTGATATAAAAGTAGTATAAAGGGTATTTTGGTCTTTTAGTATTTAAAGACTTTAAGACTTTTATTAAATTTGTTTAATAAAATAGTATAGATTTATTTCATTCAGTTTTTGTATTATAATTTAATTTAGGTTTAATAACAAAATAATTTATTATTTATTTAATAATATAATTTTTTATAAAGATAGAACTCAATTATTATCCCAAGTATATTTCAAAAAATTTATATTTAAAGTTGAAATATTTACCATATATTTGATTATATTTATATGCAGTTAGTTATACAAATTCAAACATAGAGATTTAATTTGTACTTACGCATAATTTATTTGTAAGATTAAATTATAATAATATGCATCACTAACAGTGGTCCATGCATAAAAAATAGTCACTAGCCAAACCCCCATCATCACAACATTATCGTCATCGTCACAACTGCCACTTACCCTTACCCCACCCTACCTCAATCAATCACTAGCCACTATGCCACTACTGTCGTCATCATACCCACTACTCCCAGCCATCCTGACCACCATCTCACCACTGTCATCGTCACGGCTGTCACCCATCCCCACCGTCGCCCCGTCGCCCCTAACCTAACCCCCATCCTCACACCATTATTGTCGCCTTCACAACCGCCATTCACCTGCAT